ACACAAGATTTTTTAAAGAGCACTCCTAAGTGATCATCAAAATTATTAGGTGCAGCTTTCAGCATATTTCTCTATATTCATTCCTTGCTATGCACCATTGTCGTTTTCTAGCTCTAGGCTGAAGCAATAAAGAGCATGGCAACAGCAATTGCTTGTTATTAGTGTGTCTGTTTCGCTGTCTATTTGTATATTTCCTTCACTTTCACCCCATCTTTCTGGTGAACAAGATTAGTTGTTCTTCAGCCTTGTGATCATATACATTAATCCAACTGGCCTGGAATAACATGACCATGAGACTGCAAAATGTCATATGTCCTTCTCAGTTCAGTGATGATTCAGTGATGACAAAACAGATGTTCAAGAGCTCTTCTTTCTAGGACTATAACTCATTGTGTAATTTTCAGTTAAAACTCAATTCAGATTTATGACAAATGAAGGTCACTTCAAAGAGGCTTTTGAACCCATAATGGAGAAATATCACCAAGTGACTTACCATAAAGATTAAAAAAGTTTTTCTTGTCTGACATTCTAAAGTCATGAAAGTGAAAAGTTTGACTTTGGTTATGAATTGCACTGTTCTGAATGCATTTCCTATAGTTTATGTTGAAACCTTTAATGAGTCTTTGCATTAGAAGTCACAGGCATAAATATGATTAATAAGTGTAGAGACAGAAGATTCCTTTTCAGTGTGTTCAGTCTATTATTTTCATACTAAATAACAGGCTGTAAGAACCTTTCTACATAAGGGTATCTAATTTATTCATCAAAAATCAGAACACCTACAGGTTATTTAAGATTTCAAAGCAAAGCTCTATTCTGACTGAAATCAATAAAAACTATATATTAATTAAATGGAAACAGCATACAGCTCTCAAAGATAATTAGTATTGTACTTTTCAAATAACATTATGTATAACTGATAGACAAAGCACTACATTAAAACTTCAGCATTTATCTGCCTCCTCCATATTTTGTCTTGAAATATCTTCCAGAATGGACTCAATCTTTAACAAAATTGATTATACTTAGAAGCATGTAACTTCTGAACTAAGGCTTTCTTAACTCTTGTGTAAGCAATTTCTCTCCTTTTCTCTCACCTCCTCACACAACCCCATTTTCCTGAGGTCTTGCTGTCCTCTAGTGGCAAAGGGCTATGACTTGTAAAGTCGTGGGAGCATTTGAAAGCAGATGTCCTCTCCTTCATTATTTTCATCATCTCTGCTCCAGGTAACTTTCAGGCCTCCCAGTAAACGGATTCTTGAAAGAAGCTGATGATTTCAACTTGCCAGACTATAAAAAAGTTACTGAGTGAAACATAGCAAGTTCAGTAGCTATTTGAACTTAGAACTATGCCCCAAGGTTGAATTTGTTAAGCAGTCTACAATTAACCACAGGTACGTTTAATTACTTTTGGTTTGAAAAGAAAAAGCAGATGGATTAGAGACTCTTATAAACATGCCTATTGAAATAAATTATCTTAAGACTTTAGATGGGATTTTCAGCACATTTCTTCAGACTTCAATTGTACAGTACTACTTCTAAAAAAGTTTATGACAAAGCCTTGCTTATGAATGTTAATTTCTAACTTGTTGAGTTAATGATGAACTGCTCTCAATTTTTAGTAACCCTGTCTTCTATACTCATAACATCTCAAATGACTCAAATCCCACTTATGCAATTTCATGTTGGGTCACAGAAAGACTGCAAGGTGTAAGCCAGTCATAACGATGGACATAGCCTCAGCCATGCTGTGACACATGAAAAAGGGAAGAAGACATATACCTCTCCACCATCCAGCAGCCACCAGCTCAGCTGCACACAGCTCCAGAACTCTGCATCTCAGCCAAAGTGGCTGGTAAATCGTGGAACTGCAGATACTTAGCATGAAGGTCTCCGAGGAGGACAGAGGCAGATGTCCAGATGTCTTTCATGCAGATGAACAAAATGCAGATGTCACAACAGGGCAAAAAACAATAAAGTAATTCTAAGATTGGGCAGCTTCAGGCTTTTATGGAACAACTAGTGTACCAGATTCAAAAGAGATCTTCTCAATTGAAAATCATCAGGCCTCCTTATATAAAACAAAGAAGTTGAGTAAGTAGATCAGACATTTGGCTTATTCAGACTTTCACTCTGTGCTCAGTGTACAGTACTGGGGAAAGACAACAAGTTAATAAAGAGAAGCACAATAGCAAGTCTCCTTTTAGAGCTTACACCATAGAACCATAGACTCATGAAAGGGTTTAGGTTGGAAGGGACCTTAAAAATTACCTAATTCCAACCCCCCTGCCATGGGCAGGGACACCTTCCATTAGTTCTGGTTGCTCAAAGCCCCATCCATCTTGGCCTTGAACACCGCCAGGGATGGGCCATCCACAACTTCTCTGGGCAACCTCTTTCAGTGCCTCACCACCCTCACAGCAAAGGGAGATACTTTGTAGTATCTTATCTTAATATACCCTCTTTTAGTTTAAAGTTATTATCCCATGTACTATCACTCCATGCCCTTGTAAAAAGCCTGTATAATCCAAGACAACAACAACATTTTAATTACATTCTACATATTGTAACTCTATGTCCTCACTAGAATTCCCTTATCATGTTCCATCAGACACAGACATTTTTGAAGAATGAATGAGATATTGAAATATTTTCAACTCCCTTCAGTGTAGGCAAAAACAATTAAATATTGATTTGTGAAGGATTTTTAACACACTTTGCTTATGCCTGTAGTATACAGCCTTAAAAGTCAGTCCAGCCTGAGTTAACAGAAAGGACGTTGAGCAGAAGTTTGGTCATTTGTCTTTCCTTTAAAGCACCTTCTGTTTTCAGGTCACGATCACCATTCGTTCTAACCAAAGCAACTCTCATTTTTACTGGTTAATCAATCTGTGACAATTTACCATCTTCAGCCTTCCTAATCTTCCCCTTATCTTGTCATATCTTGACCTTGTACACTAAATTTTACTGAATGAATAGGTATCATATACATTATTTTATAAAATGAACATCTGCTAACTCGGAGCTGAACTTAATAATACACATATAAAACCAAACCTTCTTGCAAAGCTCTAATTCCTGCAGTTGTACTTTTCTTTATGGGACAGATCCTTAGATCCACAGAACTTGCTTGTCAACAGTCACCAACAACTCCTAAAATGAAATTAAGTCAGGAGTAAGAAACATCAACAATACATCATGTAGTAATAAGAGCTGGCCAAAGTTAACCCAGTACATTTCATGTTTTAATAATAATGGAATATCATGTTTCAATAATAATGAATGTTTCCATAAACTGTCTAAATTATGTAAATAATGGAAATGGTAAATAGGAATCTTTTCAATTACCCCAAATATCTTCACTGACCAGTGAAGAACTTTATGTCACAATACACCCAGCATCAATATCCTCAAAGGACTAAGGATTGGGCTGGTCCAATTGACACTTTAAAAAGTAGCATAACATGAAGTGAAATTTTGAAAGAACTTGATAAGGTGTTTTCTCCAGCAAAGGATTTTGTGGGGCAATTAATTTCTGAAAGCTAAGACAGCTCATCTTCAGACACTGTTTCCAATATTTGTGCAATGAATAGGTGGATTGCTTTCTGAATAGTCCTAATCAGTGATTTAAAACAAACTTTGTTAGTTTACAAATTAGATATTGAAGTAAGCTTTTCTAATCTCTAAACATTAGGAAAACCAATTCATGAAGCAATAGGGAAGCAGTGTAATTTTTATGTTTAGAAAGGGTTCTGTTAATATGATCTTTATTATCCATGAAAATTCCATAATGCACCCAGGGGCAGCATTATAGAAACAGCATTTACAGTTCTTCCAATCTATTTGTTAATGTCAAGTGGATTATTAGAAGGAATCCAAGAGCTCTTACAATACCACACTTTTTATTCTAATTCTTAAAGCTTGCAGATTTTGATACTCAAAAACTCAGAATATGAAAATAATTCAGCTCAAGCACCAGCATGAATGTATTTTCAATTGTTCCCAGAGCTCAGACAGCAGTGAAGTGGAGAAACTGCCTGATACAACACACAAATGAAACCAAGAGCTTTGCTTTGTTACAGAACTGCAGACTTGCTGAATCACCTAATACTGTGCAAGCTATGTTACTGTCAATATTAGAGAAAACACAGCTGCACCCTTCCTCTTCCCTCAACTGTCACATATTTTGTATGTCTCTTTTAGTGAAGCAGGGTTTAAGTGGAATACATCCCCAATGTGACTTATCCTTAAATTATATTCAGACAATGAGATTGTTTTTCCTCATGAAAATAATGGGGTACAATTAGGAGGGGAAAAATGTACGTTCTCCAAACCCAAAGTTTTTACTCAGGGAAACAAAGCAACATTTTTTGTTCTATTTCTACTACTGTACACAAAAGTAATTTCCCGCTCCAGAAGATTTTGAAACTCAGGATTGTCTCATTGGAAAAGCATCTCTAAGATTATTTTTTTTCCTCATTGTTAAGAGGAAATGGCTCCCTTGGTCATGGCTAACAAACCTGTCACATACATGAGGCAAAATCTGTTTTGAAGTAGTGACATTTTTGTCATTCATGCCAAAGGTAGGGCAGGTTCTGAGATTTGGGAACAAATGGATGTTCTCCTCAGCTATGGGGATGTGTTACACTGAATTCCCTATGACAGGTGAAGGAACCAAACAGAGTTTCTTTGAGAGACAGAGAAGGAAATGTCATTAGGATAATTTACAGGGATGATAATCCACAGCTTCCTTATTCTTGGCAGGGAAGATCTTCAAACAGGGAATTCACCAATTTCATATGAGGTGCACAAGGCGCAGGCACTGACCTCGGGCACGACATGGCACCATTGCCCAGCGCTCACTTCTTGCTGGTGCCATTAGTAACTCTTCTCAGTTCTTCCTGGAGAGTGCCAGCTGGTCTCAGAGGTCACAACATCTGACCAGTGAGGGGTAATTCCCTCTCCAAGGTCTCCTCAACACCAAAGCTGGTGGCACAACCGGCGTGTCCCTGTTTGGCGAAGGAGAACAGTGCGATATAATCGTGTAGACCAGTCAGCGATGCGGCACAACCTGAGGGCTCCGGTGCAGGTGACAGAGAGAGTAGAAATGGACACTTGAGGAGAAATAGACGCGGCGAAGAGAAAATGGGCTTTTTTTTTTTTTTTCTTTTTGATAAAGCATCCCCGGTCAGGCTGAAATGGAGGAAGCAGGAATGGGAAAGTTTGCCGCGACCTCACATTAGCTCGTTTTTAGCAGCAAAACCCTAAAACGCCGTCACTTTTAGCTGAGACCAGCAGATTCTCACCGCCAGCCCCTCGGCTCACCCTCTCGGCTTTTCCCCAGCCTGTAGCGGCGGCCGGCGCTCCCCCTCCCCAGCCGGGAGCCGCCGCGGGACGGGACGGGACGGGGCGGGAGCGGCAGAGAGAGGGAGGGAGAGAGGCGGCCCGCGGGGCAGCTTCCTCCCGCTCTCCCTTCCTCGTCCGGCGGCCGCAAGGAGCGGACCATGGCCCGCAGCCGCCGCCGGGAAGGCTCCGCGCCAGGCACGGCCCCGCCGCCAGGTCCCCCCGGGGGCACCGGGCCCTGGGCTCGGGGTTAGAGCCTCGCCCGGCGGGGCGCGGGGCCATGGGCACGGCGTCGTCCCTGGTGAGCCCGGCGGGCGCGGTCGGGGAGGTGATCGAGGACACGTACGGTGGCGGCGGCGGCGAGGCCTGCGAGATCCCGGTGGAGGTGAAGCCCAAGGCGCGGCTGCTGCGCGGGTCCCTGCGGCGCGTCGGCGGCTCCCGGCCCGGCGGCCTCATCGGGGCCAGCTTCAAGTCGACGGCCTCGGTGCAGGAGCTGGAGTGCGTGGCCGAGTACGAGCGCCTAAGGAAGGAGTACGAGATCTTCCGCGTCAGCAAGAACAACGAGGTGGCCTCCATGGTGAAGAAGGAGGCCAAGCTGGACAGGGAGAACAAGCGGCTGCGCGCCGAGCTGCAGGTAGCGCCCGCTTCCCCGCGGGTGAGGGCACTGAGCAGCGATGCTGAGGCTGCCAAGGACTCGTCCCGCTTCCTGGGGAAAGCTGTGGCAGGGAGGTGATGGGTGCGAGGGAAGGCAAGGTATTGGGGAAGCGGTGCCCCGGTGCTCTCCTGCTGAGCAGTCGGGATGCCGTCAAAGTGCGCGTCTGGGGATGGGGACCGCGCCCTGCGCGGCTGTGGCGACCAGAGACAGGGAACGGCCTGGAATTATGCCAGGGGAGGCTTGGGCAGGATATTAAAAAAGGTTCCTCACTCAGAGGGTGTTGGGCACTGGAAAAGGCTCCCCAGGGAAGAGGTCACAGCACAAGCCTGACAGAGTTCAAGAGGTGTTTGGACAATGCTGTCGGGACGTGGTGTGACTTGGAGTGAGTGTCCTGTGCAGGACTAGCCGCTGGACTCGATGGTCCTCGTGGTTCCCTTGCAACTCAGGATATTCTCTGATTCTACAGTAAGGAGAGATGTAGGGTGCTGAGATAATACTGTAGTCAGACCTGAAAAGTAATCTAAAACCTTTTATGGGCAATAAAAAAATGAAATACTAAATGTTTTCAGGCACTTCAGAAAACATACCAGAAAATACTTAGAGAGAAAGAAAGTGCATTGGAAGCTAAATACCAAGCCATGGAGAGAGCTGCTACTTTTGAACATGATCGAGACAAGGTCAAAAGGCAATTCAAGGTATGGTTTGACTTTTCTGTTGCTGGGAAAACGACCAAAAAAGATGAATGTCACTTGTTCACATTCCCCAAATGAACCATTCTCCAACAGCATTCATTCAAGCTTCTCCTTCTTAAAGACACCTTAGAGTATTATAGCTGTAGCTGCCCCTTTCCATTAAAGTAATCCTACAGAAACCTCTCTGTAAGACTAAAAGGAAAAAAATATGAAATAACTTTATAATTATTAAAAGGAGAATATGAAGTGATACATCATAAACTAAATTCCTGCATTGAATTTGAACTCGGGAGTATATTCATATTTGAGAGTGACAAGAAGACATGAGCTGCAAATTGACACATGCCTAATGAATGCCTAAACACAGAGGTCCATTCTTTCTGAATAAATTTTATATCTTGAATTGTAAGGTGTAACACCTCTAGCTTACATTTTTTTAAAAAACTGTGTATTGGTGCATCTCTTTTGGCTGCAAAAATATGATAGTTAGAGACAGCTTGCAGGGATGACTTGAAAGGCCTGGCAGATATTTCTGCTTTTCCTTTGCTGCAGATGATACTTTTGCCACACAAAACAGGGCAGTAGGTCCTAGTTTTTCACTATTTTCAAGATTCTTCATGTCTTTAATTTTAGTTGTCTGTGGCTACATGTTGTTCATGGTTGTCAGATATATAAAAAGAGGATTGGTTCTGACCTTATTTAAGAAAATGAGACTTGAAGACTACTTCATTTCTTTGAATTTAAAACTAGATTCATGTTTTCTTTCCCACATAATGGTAATGAGTTACAGACAGGATAGCTGGACATGCTTGATCAGTTTTCTGTCAGAGGAAATTTAAATTTCTGCAACAATAAAATGTAAATACAAGACCATATGTAATTGTAAATAAACACATGGAAGAATAAAAGGGAACCTTTGAAAGAATTGTTACATGTAACAATTTTAGAAGACAATAAAGTTTAAAAAGTAAAAATAGTTGTTTTAATTTTTAATGAAAATGTTAATGCAGGCTTCTTTCAGAATGGTATGCTAAGTTTTATAATGGTAAAATTTTAAAAATAGATAGTTTTAAACTATGGTTTCCTGCTTATTTCTGATTCACGATGTCTTCAGATTCACATTTTCACGCCTTTGCCTGGTAAATGAATGCTAAAAACTTACTTTTCCTATTGAAAGTAGATAACATGATCTCAGGAATAGGTACTGATATTTTTTCCTTCCTGCTGATAGATTTTTAGAGAAACTAAAGAAAATGAGATTCAGGACTTACTGAGGGCCAAACGAGAGCTAGAAGCAAAACTCCAGAGACTGCAGGCCCAGGGAATCCAAGTGTTTGATCCTGAAGAGTCTGATTCTGATGATAATTGTACAGATGTTACAGGTGAGAATTTCATTCCCAACACTTTGTGTTGGACCCTGACTGAAGTCTCCAAATAGTAAAGCAGAAGACAGATATTTATGCTGTTTTGAAAAAAAAGTTTTATTAATCCAGATGAAAAGCAACTTAAAGTAATTTGAAGGGCAAAAGCAACAAATCTTCCAAACTTGGTTTAGATTGTGGGAACCTCACATTTCTGGTGTTACAAATGAATAAATGAAGACAGAGTACTGTCTAGACACAGTTACTTGAACACTTTTTAAAAGTTGTTCCATTAGCTGTTCTGAGTTTTCTAGTCTTTTCTGTGTTCTCTTATTCTGTATCTGAGAGATGATGCTCCAGCATATCCAAAAATCACACCAGAAACTAGAGGGTGTCTTAGACACTTTGGATGATGACATATGCCAGTGTTAGCTGCTGTGTGTTCCAGAACAGCAGAGCTAGATCTTTAACAAAGAAAATGTAGGTACAAAACCTTGTATATGCTGTATGAGGATTTCACTAACATGGAAAGGGTTCCGATGGGTATGTGAGCAATCTGAGTAATAGCAAATATTAGGAAATACCCTCAGCCTTTGGTGTCATGGATTCTCGTTAATTTTGGACAAGCAGCCATTTAGAACTACAGCACACAAACGTGTGAGGAAATCTGCCGGAGGAAAAAAATTACGGTCAGTGGCATGTGGCTGGAGTATTTAGGACTGACAATTTACCTTGTGTAGTGACAAAGAAGAGGGTTTTTTGTTGTTTTCCAATTCTTAGCTGCTGGGGCACAATCTGAATACTGGAATGGAGGAGTGTTGGGAAGTGAGCCATCCATGGGTAGTATGATGCAACTTCAGCAGTCTTTCAGAGGGCCTGAATTTGCACATAGCTCCATAGATGTCGAGGGGCCATTTGCAAATATAAACAGAGGTAAGTAATGGTAATTCATTTTGTTGGGATTGTAGGTGTCTATTGAATTTTTTCAACTATGCTAAAGTAATTGTGTTCCTTCTTAGGTCCTTTTCTGTCCACTCTTGGGTAATTTAGCTAAACTATTTGGAATTCTTTGTAAAAATAAAAGGAAATGTAGCTAAGTTATGTTTAATATATGTGATGACTATGGTATGTGCAGCAGTGATTTTACCAAACAGCAATTTCCAGTGCTCTGTTGTGAGTATATTCCTTATGTTGACAGTGGAAGATAGTGGCTCATTCTTTCAATATCTTTTCCATTTGTATTCAGATTCTCTACTTCCTGAGTATGAGCATCACGTTTGTATTAGAATAAATTATACCCCTGTTTTGTTCATTGATTTTGACTCTGCATTGACTCTGCGTAGGAGGCCACATACAGAAATCTGATCGTAAGACCAGGATGCATGGTTCTTACGTAAATCAGTCCTTGATATTTTCTTGTCAATAGTTACTCCTTTTGAACTTTGTTTCACAAGTGGCCTCTTGTAAATTGGCTTCTGGTACTCTGGTTTCCTTCACTGTTGTCCTTGCTCTGGAGCCTCACCTGCATATAGTTGACTTTGCTGGCAGTTTCTCCCTTTTTAGTTCAATCCTTCAGGCTCTGTCTAAATCAGAAATCTGTGCCTGCAAAGTGGGAGGGGTGGGCCTTCCCTGTGATGGCTCCAGCTTCATACACTGAGCCTTTCGTCAACCTATGTGGTCCTGAGAAGAGAACTTATTCCTACCTTGAAAGAATGGCCAGCCACAAAATGAAGAATCAAAGTTTTAAAACTCATTGCTTCTGTAGGGAATAAACATGCAATGCTACCGAAAGCAATGATTTTTTTTTTTTCTCCAGAAGAGGAGGTTCCCACAGTGTTTTGCTGTCATTTATTCACATGATCTAATTGAAATACATGTCGATCTGAAGGGAAAAAAGTGTTTGGTTATGACTGAATTTATTACTCCAAAATATTAGTACTTATTTTACAGTTATCAGCTTGATTTTGTGCAAACATTTCATCAATCCTTTTTAAAGGAAATATCATTGTGATGATAATATAAATATGTTTAACACTTTTATTTTGCCACATTATCAAATTGTGTGACATCAAATGGTATGAGTTCTCAAAATTTATAAAATTTAAATAATTCAGTAAAAACACTACTACTATTTTAAATAAAATGTAGTATTCATGATGCTAAGAGATGATGACTTAACTGTTATGCAGTGTGATGACACGTGATGTCTAAGATTTCATTTTGGGGTTTTTTCCATTGGCAGATGATTGGGATGCTGCTGTTGCCAGTTTATTGCAGGTTACTCCTCTGTTTTCCCACTCTCTTTGGAGTAACACAGTGAGATGTTATATTATCAGTACTGATGAGACTCAGCCAGAAGTGAGCATCTTCATTAGAGTGAGTACCCACAAACCTGTGCTCACTTATGTGCTGTCTTATTTCCAGTGTGAATCTGGTTCAGAAATTTGTCTAATTCTTCTTGAAAGCTTTAGTAGGAGTAGTCTGATTTCAGTGAAATCAGTGTAAGTATTGTCAATGGCTTCAGGGGAAGAAACTGCTCAGATAAAAAACCCTGAGATTTGTTTGGTAGATCCTTAGTGCTATGCATGGTTAGTAATAAAGCACTGTTGCTCACATTTGCTTTCAGAACTACTCCCCAAAACTTCAGAGAGTCTGTGAAACAATGGGGTACTTCTTTCAAGTTGTTAATTTTTCAACAGAGAATGAAAGGCCTCTTCAGGATGTAAGAAAATGGGAAATTGAAAAAAGTTCATTAGTAATTTTGCTTCTGCATTTAACTTTGCCAAGGTGAGTATTTTCCAGGCTGGTGAAACAAATGGCAACTGGTAATTTATGCAGAGTGCATATCTTATTAAAATGTATGGGATGCTTTGCTCAGTATATTTCCTAAGCCAGTAACTTCAAAGTGATACTCCTTCAGACTTTAGGTTTGCTAGTGCAGACACTTAAAAGAATATATCAGCTTTGTACCATTTTCTTTTAGCTACAAATTCTCTTAAAATACAGCTTAAACAACGTCTTAGTAACATACAGAAATGTTTTGCTTTCCAAAAGCATCTCTCTGTTGTGCATGTGGCTATGTCTTCAGAATTAAAGATGGCTGATGAGAATGTCCTCAGTATTCATTTGCTTATCTAGCCTTACACCTGTCCATAGTATTTGGCATTTATTTTATCACATATTAGTTCCTGGTTTTGTCTGTCTTTCAGACTAATTTCATGGCTCTCCTGTGTGTTACCATATGCTATCTTTTGACAGCTTTGGTTTAGTGAAGTCATGATGTTTCATGACAAATAGTGATGGAATGTGGTCTGTTTATTCAGTGAGTAATTTCTTAACCTTCTAGAAAAAGAAGCATGATTCACTAAAAAAATACACTAAAGGAGGGATACTTTTGAATTGTGTTAGGAATGTTACTGTTATGCGTTATATGCTGTTGCCAAATAACCCAGTTTTATGTATGTGAAGCAAAAAATGTGTAAGAACAAAATATTCAGGGGTAAAAAAAACCCCAAAAGTATTAATTTAGAGAATTTGTCTTAGAAAAACTCTGATGAAAATTTCAGTGCTTGTGTAAGCATGGTAATATTTGAGCAATCCTGTCTGCTATTGTCAGCGTCCCCAAGAAGTATAGTTCCTTCTCTGGAACAGCAATAGATATCCATGGATATAATTCACATATATAAATACAAAGTGCTTTTGAATTTCAAGGTGTCAAATTCTCCTTTTTAAACACTACAAATTGAAAGACTGTCACCCGAGATATCTGACAGTTACTAAAGGACTCTTCCTAAAAAGATCAAAGATAGAACAGAACCCTCAGATAACTGATAGCAAAACATATTAATGCTTATTAATTGTATGTGAAACCATGTTCTTTCCATGCAAGGCAATTAGCTTTCACTCTGCATATTGCTATGACAGGAAAAACAGCTTTAAATTTACAAATCAATAATTATAAAAATTAATACATGGTTTTACTGGTTTTGGTACAAGTCGCATAAATCTCTCTATTAGCTTTTTCTTGCTTCAGAATTTTTCTCAAATTCTCTGCTGAAGTATTTGATTGCTTTTTGCTATAAATAGATATGACTTTTGAATTAGATTTTGCAGTGAAACCCATCTTCGGAGCTTGTGTTGATTGAACTGTTTACTACAGCAGTGTAATATAGCACAAGAATGCTGATTTCCAATCTAGTTGTTTGTTGGAGGACTGTGAAGAAGCCTTCTTGAGAAATCCAGAAGAAAAACCTCGGTTAATTTACCACAGAAGGGAGGATGGCAAAGTCAGTTCAGTCTCAGTGCAACAGTTAATTGAGCAAATTTCTTGCATGAACAAAGCAAAGGTATGGCTTTTACAAATTGCTATTATCAACACTGCATGCTAATAGTCTCAGATTTTAGAAGAAATTGCATTGCACTCATTGCTCTGGCTGCTCATTCTGTGAGCAGATCGATGAGGCTGAAATTTATGAATGTTATGAAATTTTCATTAGCAGAGGAGAAAAAAAAGCCACCCTATTTTCACTGAAAAAAAATGGCTATGCTGTAAGGTTAGAATTTCTTACCTGTATTTAGGCATTCAAATCGCAAAGTTGTTTGTCTGAGGTCCCACTGAAGGGAGTGAAGTATACCTCTAGAAAGATTCCTGCTGCCTAAAATTCAATCAGTTATGATCTATTTTCCTCTACAGAGACAATGGTTAAGCACAGCTGAAACTAGATGCCCAACTTTTAAAGTTCTTAGGCAAAGTGAATCTTACCTAAGGAAGGCAACATAATGGAATTTAAATGTGTTCCAGAATGGTTTTGTTGGAAGTCCTAAATATTGTCCTCAGTTGGATTCAGAGTTGTGTCATGCTTTTCCATTTACTTTTTCAGATGATTGACCATGTTGGAGGTATGGAGGAAGGAGCATATGAAATCTATAACTGTGTGGAAAAAATAATTAAACAGGTAAAGTACATCATGCATTTTAGCTTTTTACGTCTATGTTGATTTATGATCTTAAATTATGTCAGTGTGTTTACTATGTGGTTCTTAAGTGTGATGCAAAGTATCTCTTTGTTTTATTGTTAATATCTGGCAACCAAGGAAATGTGCAGGTGGAAAATAAAACCCCAAACTGAGCGGTGCTTTTATGGACAGAAGCACTGCACCATGGGAAAGGGTTCTATTTATGGGCCAAAATTAGCTTTTACTTGTCTTTATCCATATCATAGATACGTCCTCTCCTTATTCTTGTGGTGAGTTGTTTCTGCTATGAGGTATTTAAAATCAATGTCTTGAGACCTAAGAGTTAACTTAGTTTCATATAATTGCTCATTTATTTATTAATTATTTATTTTATTACTTACAATTTTTATTTTTTTATTTATTTTTAATTTATTTTATTATTTATAATTTTTTATTATTTATAATTAAAATTATAATATTTATTATGCTTAGTTCTTTGCTACTCTGTAAGGAAATGAGCATATTTGTGTTAGTAGAGCCACACTCATACTGAGACTAAGAGCATATGTGCTTGCACTACAGTTGCAGTTTTCTCCATGTAATTTCTTTTTACTTAGGATATACTGGGGTGTGAAATGACAGACCTAGAAGGCAAGGATTTGGGTAATAAGGAAGACTCCTCTTCTCCTGAAGAAGAAGTTTTTGGTGATGTATTGTGGGATGCACATGATGAACAAGAACAGATGGAAGCCTTTCAGCAGGCCTCTAATTCAACATGTGAGCTGGGATTTGAGAAAGTGAGTACTTTATAAAGGTATATGGATCAAGTGAAAGTCATCACTCACTTTCATTCCTTGTTGGGTAAGATGCTTTTCTACAGAAGCAGCTGTGTCTGAGAGCATCCTTAAGGCTATCACTCCTTATGCTGGAAGAAGCCATATGTCTGATATAGATGGCATATTTATTTTCTGGGAGAGATGCCAGTTGATGTGTTGTTGAGTGACATTGATGAAGAAGTAGCTGTTGTGCCTGCACTGGAGAAAAGCACTATAACAGTGTGCCAGAAGCAGAGCGTCCTCTTAGATGTTGGTCATCAATAGAAAACAGTCTGAGTACCTATTTTTTCTTCTTCTATTTTTTAAATTTCTTTTTTATTTTTCCCTGGCGAAATCCAATCTCTTTCTTGACACTTGGAGTTAGGTCTTTAGGAGATGGTTAATGAAAAGATTTCATCTCATCATGCAGCCGTAAAAGAACAAAGGAAACTTTATAGTGGAAAGCTGCTGAATACCTCAGTACTTACTCATTACTGGAAATAATTTTTTAAAACTTTTCAAGTTGTGAGTGTCAGGAATATGTTGGGAAGATATAATGAATGTAGGAAGATAAACATTAAAGTCATCACAGAATGTGGTGCAGTAGTTTATTTTGGCAATGTAACATAAGCATGCATTTTGTGTTACTGCATTTAAATTCTTAGTACCCCTATTTTACTAGCACAATATATTCTTTTACTTCACCAGTCCTATATTGATAATGGTTTGGAGGGTTGTACCATCTTTACTACATTCTAGAGCAATAGAATAATAGAACATTAAAGAAAAAATACCAATGTATATCTAAAGGCACCTCTTACTTTGAAGACAAAATATTTCTCCCCAGCAGGTGAAGGGTGTTTTGCTTTGGTTTGTTTTGTCATCTGCTGCAATAGTTTTAGACATTCATATGCTGTAAGAAAGCCTTCTTTTGTATGTTTTTGTATGCTCAAAATAGTCATTCATGACAGATGCCAGCTTTTTCCTGGCAGCCATATCCAGTGCAGTGGAGTAGTTTGGGGAAGGGAAAGGCAAGGAAGCCTGAACAAAAAAAGAACACTGTTGCTTTACTGTAATAACACTAATTCCGTTTATTAGCACTGAAGATTCCATTTTAAATAGAGTTTTGAAGAAAGTGTTAATTAATTTTACGCTGTTTAAAAAAGAGATAATGAATTCTATGGTTTAATTGTTTCCTTGCAACATCTATTTACACTTGTATTGTATTGTATTTCAGCAGTTTCTCCTTTACCTTAATAAATTGGTACATGCATTTTGAATTGACATGGTTTACAATACCAGGCTCTATATTTCTTCCTTAAACACTGGACTATTTATAATGACTGCTTCTTTTTTAAAGTATTTTGAACGTCTGAATGACCTAGTAGCAGCACCAGCACCAATTCCACCATTGCTTGTATCAGGAGGACCAGGCTCTGGGAAATCTCTTCTTCTGTCTAAATGGTAGTTAATTTTTTTTTTTATACGAATGAAATTTAAGAAAAAAGTTTCCATTTCAAAGATTGTGTCAATAATGAGAGATAAAATGGGGGCTTTTACAAAGTGCTGACATTATTGAAGCATCCTGGAAAGATTTGTGATATTTGAGTAGCTAATTTCATCTGGACTGCCTTTGACAGCTCCCTGATGCCATTTGCAACAAGTTATGATAAGGCATCACTTACATATCTGTCTTTGCACAGCATTAAGATGTGATTTTGATAGCTCAATAGTGTTGCCCACAAGAAGGGTCTGAAATAAAGAAAGAATCCTCATCATTTATCATAGACCATAGTATTTTATGGTCACTTGTATGCCAGGACAAAATTTGCTGTCATAAAAATAAACTGATGGTGTCATTGCTTTTTGAAAGCTTAGTGGCACGTGACTATTCAGTGCCAGGAAGGGCACTTGCTAATTGCTATCAGTAATGGTAATAGTAAAAATGGAATCTGACATTAGAAGGTCAGTTGTAGCTCAGGAAATGTCTGTGCTGTTTTGTAACATAAACATGGAACACATGTAGCTAAGATACTCTGTCCCCTTTGGCAAAACTAGTGCCTTTTGTTTGAGATCTCTTTGCAAAATTACAGTCTGTTGAGTCTTTTTTTCTTCTCTTCTTTCATTAGGATTCAATTACAGCAGAAGCATTCACCAAGCACACTAATTCTTTACCACTTTGTTGGGAGGCCCTTGTCTACTAGTTCAGAATCTGCACTGATAATTAAGCGCCTTACTCTGAAGGTAATGCTGCATTACATGCCCTGCATTGCATTTTTTCTGTGTGTGTGTGTGTGTGTGTGCAAAGATAATTTCTACAAAATTTTCAGCATCAGTGAAAAGTAATACAAATGTAGGAAAAAAATATTCAGGCTCAGATCAGTCAGGGCTCTGGGCAACCTGGTCTTTTTAAAGATGCCCCTGCTCATTTCAGGAGGTTTGACTAGGTGGCCTTTTAAAGCTCCTTCCAATCCAAACTCTTCTGTGAGTCTATGAAATGTAAGGCATTACAGGATGAAGGGAATCTGATCCTATGAACTTAATGTATCTCAACTAAATAGCATCTCTGGGATATTCATAATAGATCAGCATTAACAGTTATGTTTCCAGTGACCTATATTGATGACTTAAAAAACCATACAAACTCCTTCCAAAATTCCCTGCCATCTGGCCAATGAGAGAGGCAGGTGGTACATCTTGTGTCTAAGGCTGTGTTGGCCACTTGGTACCATCTTGTTCCAGACTAGGCTCTCTCCTATATTAATTCATTTTTAATTGTGTGCTAAATACATGGGGAATAAGAAGGATCATTTTTGTGCTAGGGTCCGAACTTGCTTTTTTGATCACAAGAGTGGCACTAAGGGCCTTGCAGTAGTAAAACCTGTAGAAAAAATTTATTCAGTTTTGCTATCCTTGCAATTTTCTCATCTATCATAGATGTTTGCCTGTTTAATTTGTGCAACTTCAAGTCCTTTAAGTCTCCATATTTCTTGTCTGTTGTGTAAAGGTTATCTCTCTAGAATTTACACACTGAGTTCAAGAAATAATCTTTGTTCTGCATATGCCAGCTTCCTGCATATACTAGCAGGAAAGAATTCTGTGTGAACTTGACTAGAAAAATTGCCTCCAAATCACATGGAGGTTTTTTTGGGAGGGGAGAGTGAGGTTGGGGGGGGGAAAACCACTTTTTTTTTCTCTTTTGTGTCTATAGGATTTCTTTCAACTATCCTAGCTGATTTTTAAGGTAGAATTTCAGAATTTCTTGTACATGTTTATAATTCTGCAGCTTATGCAGCACTCTTGGTTAGTATCACCTCTGACTTTCGATCCAGCTAAACTTCTGGAAGAGTTTCCCCGTTGGCTGGAAAAGCTTTCTGCACGCCATCAAGGCAGCATTATTATAATTATTGACTCTATTGACCAAATACAGGTATGTTTTCAAAATCTTTGCCATTTGTCAGTCTAACAGGAATCTTGACTATTGTAATAGGTTCAGTCATAACTATGTAACAAAAATATTAGTGTTTGTTTTGCTCTGAAGAAAACATAGAAAATAGTTTTGTAAAAAGTGCAGTTGAGTTATTTCTGTAGATAAATTTTTTAGGGTTTTTTGGTATTTTTCTTCTAAATTTTATCTTTATACCTTAATTTTTGAGCAGTCTCGTTACATTACTTATCCAAAGGTGCAAGGCTGTGAGCTGACTTATTGGGCATGTAAATAGCCTGGTTTTTATGAGGTGAACATTTCAACAATAGTATTCTATCTTCTTTATTTAGTGCACAGTTGTGCTAATACATATAAGTGGGTCATTTAGTACTGTCTAGAGGACCAGATCATGAAAAATTTTAAAGGACACTGGAGAATTTAAGACTTCTTTCATTGGGTTGCACAGTTAATAAAACATAGCAACTTCTGATATTGTTTTGAAGAACCTCTGTGTTAAGAAATGAAAATTTGTTTTTAAGCAAGCTGAGAAGCATATGAAGTGGTTGATAGATCCACTGCCAGTGAACGTGAGAGTGATTGTATCAGTGAATGTAGAAACGTGTCCACAGGCGTGGAGGTATGTTATATTTCTGTGATGTGTCAAAGTATCCTGGCTTAGAATTATTATTTTAAATTGCAGTTACTCATTGAAGAGCAGACAGATTTGTCAAGATGTGGAGATTTAATAGGATAAGATTTTGCAACCTATGAGGAAAATGAAAGCTTCTCTATTTTAGCTGCAATGACAGATTTTAGCTGTTGGAAAACCAGATTTTTGTTTTACTGTGATGGATCTATCCACATGACTGTATGAAAGATGATATTAAATGCAGTCAGAGACACATCAAGAACTGCAGTACCATGATGTAGATTCAGGATAAGGCTAAAAGTGGAAATTCTACTTCAGATGACTAGAATTTCATAGTAGCAGGGAACAGCTTCAATTACTGCTTTGATATAAATCTTTAAAAAGCCCTGGAACTCTGATGTATTTTTTTTTTATTTTTTTGTGCTATTTAATAAGGTTCAAATATAACTGTGTTCTCTCTTACCAAAGGTTATGGCCCACTCTTCATCTTGATCCCCTCAATTCCAAAGATGTTAAATCTCTCATTAGTGCAGAATGTAACTCTGCAAATGTTAAATTGACTAAAGAGCAGGTATGTCTGTTGCAGTTTTTCTATAATACCTTACTCTAGTATAACTTTTAATGAAAGCATGGAAAGATTAAATAAGCCCAGCTGCCAGAGTAAAGAATTATATTTAGCTAACTAAATATGATTGCTCAAGATAGTATGAAGTTTGAGTATTTTTATCCCATGACTCATAGCCGTGATACACAGATGGAACAACATAAATTTTTAACACAAAAACTGTGCAGTTGCACATATTGCTGTAAATGCGATCTTTTATTTTAGAATACCAGAATGTTTAATTATGTTTTAATTAATTTTTTTGCATAATACTGTAACAATCATTGACAGATTGGGAAAAACAGTATTTTACCTTTGCCCTTGAGACTGATTCTGTAAGGTAACCTTCATGTTGAGATACAATGTTAGACTCTAGCTCTTCATCTTAAATTCAAATGGAATTTAATTCATGGAACTCTTCACTCATGTGCTCCCATAGCTGGAAATATGTGCAGTATTGTATGCACTACTTACCATGTTATAGTCTTCAGATGTTGCACATAAAACAATACCTAGAACTTTTGTATTCTTATCAAACAGTGAACGTTTTATTTGTGTGGTTAGTTTCATCTCAGTTCACAGATGATTATTTAAAATATTGTAGGAGAAGAAGCTTGAGAGACATTGTCGTTCCGCCACAACTTGCAATGCCTTGTATGTCACTCTCTTGGGGAAAACCATTGCTTGGTAAGTGGAGGTGTTTTGGAAATTACTATGGTCATCACTAGATTAGAAGACTTCAAGTAGGTTAGCCCTTTGAAATACTTTCATGTAACACAGAAGGAATCTTGTTAGGAAAAAACGATGGAGAAGTTTTGCCCTCCACTGACTCTGAATGCAACAGGAACAGAAATCAGAGAGTGTACAGTCACCAGTTTGATACTAAGTGATTCCAAGTAGTTATATCTATTTGTTTTCAGCTCTTCTAGTTCTGTTTTAATTTGTTCTTCTTTATGGGTGTATCAGTTGCTTCAGTGGTTTTTAAAGGTATTTGGAGAACATTGGCGTCATGTTATTAAACAGTTAAATTCAGGTGTGTTGTATTTACTGATGTACAGAGAGTTTTCCCCATAGATTTTTAAGGCTACAAGGAAGTTCAACAACTGCTTAGTTTAACTTCCTTCATATGGTCTTTGGCCTTGTAATTCCTGCTGTGGAGAAAATTAATCTTCCCTGTTGTGCAAGAGAATATCTAATAAGTGCATTGGCTTCTTATTAACCTAGACTTCATCTTGTTGAGAAAGATGCATTTTTAGTTAAGAGACTCCCAGAAGATGAGACACTAATTGGTAATTTACTCCGGGTGACTGATTTCATTATTTTTGTTCACGTTTTATGTTCTAGAAGACTTAATTGCTCCTGAAAACATGCTTTGTAAAGGCATTAAATGAAATAGCAGCATGTGAGTTTATCCATCCTGATGTTCCTACTTGTACTCCTGCTGGAGAAAAGAACACTGCAGCGTAGGTTTTTTTAATAAAACTGTTGCAGCTATTTAGAAAAATCAGGCAATGTGACAGAAATCAGAGATTGGCTTGGAAGAACTCACCTCTTCTTTGTTTAAATCTCGCCCACCCGGTGCTCTGCACCTTTTGAACCCAGTAGGAATCCAGAGAATATTTGAGATAGAACTCTTCTGTAGTTTCAAATCAATCTTACTCAGCCAAATTTAATATGCTAAACTTTACCCTTTTTGTCCTTCTGCTCAGTGTTGGAAAAACAGGAAATATTGATGAGATTCTTCAGCAGTGTTGCCAGTGTCAAGACACAGTGTCACTGTACAGGCTTGTTCTGAGATCAATTCAGGAATCATTGCAGAGTGATAAAGAGAAAGATCTTTTGAGAGAGGTAAGCAGAGAATGCATCACTGTTTCTACAGGTAATGAATACTTTTCCCTGTAAAGTGTTTTTCTTAACTTAAAAGTAAATACAAATTTATATTAATTCATATGTATGATTCAGAGATTATTGTGTATTATTAGTATAAAAGGGACAATTTAATTAATGTAACTACATCTGTTGAATAACTATAGAATGTATGACTGCTTTGTGTTAAATATCAACTGAGCTGTTGTCTCACAGAATAAAGCAGGGATTTTTCACTATGATGTACTACACAATTAGCACTTCCTTGCTGATCGCTACCATGATCTAGTGATTAATTACGTTGAGCATAGTAAATACAATCAAAACTTGGTGTCTTGGGAATACACTTGCTTATTACATTTCTGACTCCTCTTCCTACCTTTGCAGAATTTCCCTCTTGTGCAAAACATGTTTTTGATTAGGACACAATACTCCTACTTGCTACTTCTTTGGTTCTGGCTGCATGAAGACCCTCAGCATATTTTACTTAAATTAAAGTTCCTCATGATAATGGAGTTACTCTTTCCCAGTGTTTTAGAGGAAGGTCTGAGGAGCCATTTGTTTGTCCCAGAGTGTCCCATTTGGTGCTTTATCTATCAGAATATTAAACCATTAACACTGAGGTCTCTTCTTTGAGAAGATGGACAAGGCTTGTATAGGCAGGGTTTTTTCCTTTGGCTATAAAATTATCACAGTGATAATTTTATTTTTCTTGAGATTTCAGTGTAACTAAGCTCCCCAGGGAATATTGCTAACTGTGTGAAATCTTGTGTTCTGCTTCATGCAGATACTGTGTGTCATTGGTGTCAGCCACAATGGGGTGAGTGAGTCAGAGCTGATGGAGCTTTATCCTGAGCTGACTTCTGTAGTGCTGGCCTCACTTCTTCATAGCCTGCACAAAATGTGTCTGCTGACATATGGCTGTGGTTTGCTGAAGTTCCAACATCTCCAGGTAAAATTTGTAATTCTAAACATGTGCAAGTGAAGGTCCAACCCCTGTTTTTTTAGGTAAGTTCTGTTGTTAGCTACCTAGGCCTTGAAATGTATGTTTGCTCATCTATTCTCCTTAGATTTAGAAACACCTTGAAAACGACCAGAACTGTGATAAACCAGTATTGCTGAAAATCTGGCCTTTCAAACCTTCATAAATTTCAAATCTATTAATTGTTAACTCCATGTATCCTAGAAAACATTGGCTTCCCAAAAAAAACAAGAAAAATTGAAAGAGAAAGGAATATTGCTTGAATAACCAGAGCTGTGGTCTATTGTAAGACAATTTATTTGTAGTGCCCTTGTCATTGGAAGATTTTCAGTTCTACAACATGAGATGTGTTTCAACACCCTGTGTATCATCAGCACTTAAACAAATTAAATGCATTCTCTTTCTTTTAATTATACTCTCTTTCAGGCTTGGGAGATGGTAAAACTAGAGTATATGGAAGCAGGTGAAAATGTTATTTCTGCCTATAGACAAAAACTAGTGGAATATTTCACCATGCAGTTAAGGTAGGTCCGAATTCTTCAAGAAGTGCTAAATTGAGGATTTCATGCCTCATAGATATTTTGGTTTCTTCATATACTTTCTTTGAGTTTAGTAAATTATTATAGCAAAATAACTATGCAAAATTGTCAGCTTAAAAGTTTACTTATTTAGTCTTGGAAAAGAATGAGGTCTGTGAAGGTGAATGTGCATATGATAAAGCGATCATGGGGAAATGTAGGGCATGAATTTATACCGTATCAGTTATTTTGTCGTCTCCAACTCCCCATGGATTTTTAACTCCCAGTAAGTGCTAGGAAATTTGAGTTTGCTTGGGACTTGAAGCAGAAAACCACTTTTGTTCAGCAAGCAATGAGCACATAGATAGGAGGAGATCTGGTAGGACAGCTGAACATCTACATGTTCATATCCAGCTTGAAAATGGATTTGCATTTACATCCCGAGTTAGTGTCCCAGCTGTGGGCTGCTGTTTATTGCTCCTCCAGGCATCCACTGTTGGGTAGGATGAAGCCAAGAGGGCCACAGTGTGCCAGACAAAGGAGGCACAAAGGGACAATGGGCTGCTGCAGGGCTGCAGTCCTGCTGGCAGGCATAGATTAGCCCATATGGGGTGGAAAAGCAGCTTTCTGTAGAGTGTCTGGGGGTTCCAGTGCCTTCTGAGGTAAAATTAAAATGAACATATAAGAAAATGGAGTACATGGGTCTTACAGTAATCTGTTCAGACATTCAGGTGTGGAAATTGTATACTTGCCTGGTTTTCACAGCAAATTGACAAGATGCTAGGCCTGTCAGAGTTTTAATTCTAATTTGTTTTTCTTTCAATAGTCAAGACCGAGTGACTTGGAGAAGTGCAGATGAACTTCCCTGGCTCTTCCAACAGCAGGGAGATAAGCAAAAGCTACACAAGTGTCTTTTGAATCTCTTTGTGTCCCAAAATCTTTACAAAAGGTACAAAGGTAGAAGCTGCTTTGGCCATTATAAACATTTCATATTTATTTTTTTCAATATAAATCACAAAGTGACAGATTCAAATACTTGAACAGTAGAGGCTGAAGTGCTAAATGCTGTTTCCATATAAATAATGTATTTTTTCTATTCTGTTACACCCTGGGGGGTGGCAAAGGAATAAATATTGGTCTTGAATAGCATTAGTCTCCATGGATTGTCTCTGTAGATGCTGTAGCATAATAACAATGATTGTGCGTGTAGGCCTTTTTCCCTAAGCTAGCATTGGTCTGAATAGAGGGGTATCAGAGATAAGATTCTTTTCCTTGTTAAAACAGGGGACATTTTGCAGAACTGCTGAGTTACTGGCAGCTGGTTGGGAAAGATAAGAGCTCTATGGCAGCTGAGTATTTTGACTCCCTGAAAGAATATGAAAAAAGCAGTGAGGGAGAGGAAAGTATGATCTGCCTGGCTGATCTTTATGAGACCCTGGGACGGTTTCTTAAGGACCTAGGTCTTCTCAGTCAGGTAAGTACATTTAGAGATTGTTGTAACAGCAAAAAGGCAAATGAAGCAGAGCTCAGTGTGTCCTTTCTGTGGCAGTAGACAAGTTATTGCAGCATACAGGGTGCTGCCTGCTGCCCTCACTCCTTGGACGTGGCTTTTACAGGCTGTAGCTCCTCTGCAGCGCTCTCTGGAGATTCGAGAGACTGCACTGGATCCAGACCACCCCAGGGTGGCACAGTCACTCCACCAGCTGGCAGGAGTGTATGTTCAGTGGAAGAAGTTTGGAAATGCTGAACAGCTGTATAAGCAGGCATTGGAAATCTCTGAAAACGCCTATGGAGCTGAACATCCTCGGGTGGCCCGTGAACTTGATGCACTTGCAACCTTGTACCAAAAGCAGAACAAGTAAGCTTAATTACACTGCTGGTTTTGTTTTATGTGGAGGTAGTAAAAAAAAAAAAAAGTAACAGCAAAATGTTTGTCCTGAAGCCAGAATTTTTCTTCTTTTTTTTTGAGTTTCATACCTTCAAATGCAACCATGAACATCCCCTCTCTATTCTTGTAGAAGGTCACATAGGAGGGGCCAACTTTTGTGCTTAGTTTAACAAAAAACTTTCAGAGATAAAGGAGAAACATTGTCTGTCCCTAATAATTTTATAAATTTTATATTTTTAAAAAAGTGTGATTATTCTCAAGAATCTTAAATTTTCAAATCTGTACCCTTAAGTAACTTAGAACCTTTCCAGGACGCTTATTGATACCACATTTGACATTCTTCTCACACTCCAAATAACTATTTCAGATACGAACAAGCTGAGCAACTGAGGAAAAAGTCCTTCAAAATACGCCAAAAAGCAGCAAGGCAGAAAGGCAGTCTGGTAAGGCAGTGCTTGATATTTAAGAAGAGGTACAGGGCGTGTTGCAGTTGTGCTAAACAGATGATAAATTATGTCTACAGAGCTGATAATGCTCCAGGGCTTTTGATAATTGTGGGCATAGGTAGTGAAGTACCTTAGCAGCAGCTTTGGTACCTGTCCTTTCAACTCTGCTGGAAGTGGAGATGTATCAGTACAACTGGAATGGAGTTGAAAGTGGAAAAGAAAGAAGTGGATATATACATTTCAGAGGTGCAGAATTACAGCCAATACGATTGTGTGTCAAAGTCGCAATGGAAAAAGATCTCCAGAATAGTTGAGGCATTTATCCTACTAGTGAATGCAGTGCTTACTGCAATGGAAAATCCCAGTAAAAGTATCAGGTGACATCCAGAGTTTTCCCGTTTTCTTCTCCTGTGTTGTTTTTCAGCTACAGGGTTTCTCTTGTCATTTTTCAGCTAAGAGTATCATGTAATGCCTGTACTGTAAGAGTCCCGCTAATAACTCCAGAGCTTAAGTTGTAGCTCTGATGAAAGTAGTAAAAACCCATAAACATGTTGCCATTTCCACAGTGATTAAATAAGAATGGATTTGGTTCATAAAGATTTGGTCTATTTCTGTAATGGGTTCTGCAAAAATATTTTTATCAAGACTGCAAAGGTCAAAAATAAGAAGAGTGTGTAAAAATGGCTGCACTTTTTACTTTGATTTATTTTGTTTGTAAGCTTTAACTTGCTTGCGCATTTTAAACAGATTGATGTGAAGCCTTGAGTAATATTTTATATGTATTTCTATGTGGTGTTTAGGATTGGAAGTTAAATTCATTTTAAGTTTTGAGGTTCTAAACCTAAGAATTCGATCTGAACCAGTTATTTGAACTGTGGAGTTTAAGCAAATTAGTATGTCTAATACAGGGAGAGAGGTGTGACCACACAGTAACTTGTATTGCCTGGAAATTTTCACCAAGATTTCACTTTTTTTTGGTTTATTTTGCTGATAGATGGTAAGTGTTTGCCATGTAGCTCAAAAATAGAACTTAAGGAGGACTATTGTACTACTTAGGCACCAAACTAAGTCTTTTGGTTTTCTGTCTTTAGTAGTACTGGTGACTGGCTTACATTTCCTTCTTTTTGCTGTAGTGTGGCTTTGCTCTCCTGCGTCAAAGAGCCCTGCAATTGGAAGAGCTCACGTTAGGCAAGGATACATCAGATAATGCTCGAACCCTAAATGAGCTTGGAGTCCTCTACTACCTGCAGAATAATCTTGAGTGAGTTGTACTGATTGTGACACATCACTGAGTGTTCTCAGATGTCTGAATGGAGGCAGAGCAGGGAGATCTAGCACTAAATGCAGACACGTGATCAAATACTTGTCCCTTATTCATTCTACTGGTTTTTGTTCACTGTGAAATTCACTCCTATTTTCTATTTGGTGCTATTGGCATGTGGGTATTTACCAAGTCAGTGCACTTCCTGCATTCAGAATTGATGTTCCACAGTTAATTAGCCTTTGTTGCAAATTCCAGTTCTCTCTCAAACTTCTGCCTTCTCTGCTCAGCTTTACTGCTTTGTGACTCTCCTTTGCAGTGTGGATGTCATGATGAGGAGCTGCCTAGTAATAATGGATGCTATCAGTCTTATGGGGGGATCACCTGTAGTTTTGATAGAGGAGCTGCTGTAAAGCTGAAATGAAATAGTAGCACCCTACTGTAGTGAGAAAAAATGTGCTCTTTGCTTCCGTGGTGACATTACAGAGTATTTCAGAAAATACTTTATCAGTTCTGAACAGATTCTACTATGAGTTTCCAAGGCTGAGCTTGTTGTTTCAAACAGGCATTTCAGCCTGTACAGATGTTACCAGCTTTGAAATATTGATGAGCAAATATGTTGTGTAGGACAGCAGAGCTTTTCCTGAAGCGCTCATTGGAAATGCGGGAGCGAGTCCTGGGATCTGATCACCCAGACTGCGCACAGTCTCTGAACAACCTGGCAGCCCTGTACAATGAGAAGAAGCACTATGACAAGGCTGAGGAGCTCTATGAGAAAGCTTTGGACATCAGGAAGAGAGCCTTAGCTCCAGATCATCCCTCCTTGGCTTACACTGTGAAACACCTGGCAGTGCTGTACAAAAAGATGGTGAGCACACACCTGTTATCTCTTCTGATCACCTAAATTAACTGTTGTGGTAGGTTCTGGAGCCTCTGTCAAAAGAAGGAAATGAGAATCTGACTCCATGTTCTTAGAAGGCTAATTTATTATGATATGATGTGATATGATATGATTTTATATATTATAGTATGATATGATATTACATTATATGATATATAATATAATACAATGTTATATTATATTATGTTATGTTATATTAATCATATTATATAATACTTAAACTATACTAAACTATACTAAAGAATAGAGAAAGGATACAGACAGAAGGCTAAAGATAATAATGAAAAACTCTTGACTGTCTTCTCAGAGTCTGACACAACTGACCCGTAATTGGCTAATAAGTAAAAACAATTCACATGTAACCAATGAAGCAATCATCTGTTGGATAAACAATCTCTAAACTACATTCCAAAGGAGCAAAACGCAGAAGAAGCAAATGAGATAATATTGTTTTCCTTTTTCTCTGAAGCTTCTCAGATTCCCAGGAGAGAAATCCTGGCAAAGGGATTTTTTTAGAAAATACAACAGTAACAAACTGTAATATCTTTGTCTTAATGGGAAAAAAAAAAAAACAAGTTGGGTAGAAATAGTTCTTCATACACAATGACCTTGAACTTTATAGTCAGTTTAAGGGCAACTTTTAGAATTATGAGGGAGATAGCAGTTCACAAATCAACTGTCTGGCTGAGCCACCTTCAACTTCTGTTGACTCAGTGAAAGATGAGCATTTTCACTCCTGTGAAAAAAGCACTCGGTGGAGTAAAATTAACAGGAGTATAAACTTCTGCATTTCCTAATTTCAAAATGTGTTATGAATATTTGTGTTTGTATATGGCTGTTGTAATCATTAAGTATTATTAGTTTAATAGTGATATATTCTTTCCAACAGTTGAACCAAGATCAAGTTCCATGGGTTATAAGAATTTTATTTAATTTATATTTTCACATTTTACTGTTCTTCAATGAGAAAAAAGACCTTGATAATCTCTTAAATCAAATTTGCTCATGTTTTTACTAAATAATTCTTACCTGCTATTGTCTGCATTAAATGGTTTTGGGTCACGTTATTTTCTGCTCACTTCAGCTTCTAATTTTCATGCTGCTGGAAGCTGCAAAACCACTCAATATTTGCATCAAAAACCTCTTTGCTAGTTTGAAGGAGCACAAATTAAAAGTCAGTGGAGACAATTATTTCAATAAAAGTATAACTGAAAATTCTTCTTACAGCCTTCTCAATGAGACACTTGTGGGCAAAAAATAAATTAAGAAAGGAAGAAATAGACCTAGCTGAGAAACATATTAACTGGGAATTGAATATGCCCAGTATTTTGGAAAATTAGATTCTAATAAATAGTCATGATAAATAATCTATGCAGAATATACATATTATTCAGCAAAGTTATCCCCTTATTCTAGAAACAATTAGGTCTTTCCCAAGGCTTTTGTTTAAAATAGGTTTTGCTGTTACCATCTTGAGACCAGAGAAATGAATCATTTTTTTCCATGTCATTTCTAGGGAAAGCTTGACAAGGCTGTTCCTCTGTATGAGCTTGCAGTTGAAATTCGACAGAAGTCGTTTGGCCCAAAACACCCGAGTGTAGCAACTGCTCTGGTAAACCTGGCTGTCCTTTACTGTCAGATGGTGAGTTTTTCATGCCTAACATTTATTTTTCCTGTCTTAGGCTTTTTTATGACTTGTACCTAAATGAAATGAAAGAAACTTGATTGTATTGAAAAGGGGAATTCCTTATAGTATTTGCAAATTCTTGGTTTCCATTTTAAACATTGAAAGCAGATTTGGTGAGAAAAATGCATGCAGGATGTGTTGATATTATGTTGGCAAGAAAAAGCCTATGTATTACACAGCTGTATCAAAGAAATACACATCTGTAACAAAGAAACTTTCTGCTACCCAAAGAAAAAACAGATTGAAGCTTTGCCCCTCTATGAACGCGCACTAAAGATTTATGAAGACAGCTTTGGCCAAATGCATCCTCGCGTGGGGGAAACATTGAAAAACTTGGCTGTGCTAAGGTAAGATTATATGTTTCAACCCTATAAATGCAAACTAGTGCATGAAAAAAACCATCTGAGCTTGTGTACTTTATAGTAAACTATGTTGATAGTATGGTGTATATTTCAATTTAAATGAATTGAGAGACTTGTTTTATTTGCTTGTTTCAAGTTTGTTTTGCTCTTTTCCAAAGCTATGAAAGGGGAGACTTTGAGAAGGCAGCTGAACTTTACAAGAGAGCTATGGAAATAAAAGAAGCAGAGACTTTGTTGATAGGTGGAAAAGCAACTTCTCGACACTCATCAAGTGGAGACACATTCAGCTTAAAAAGTGCATTATCACCAAATGCTTTGCTGGAACATGGACAAAGGTGATACAAACCTGCTCCAAGAAAAGGCAGTCTCTATATTCAAGTAGACAGAAAATTACTAAGACAAATCCATTTTTCCAAGGATTATGTACTGTTTTGGGACTGACACCTGTCTTCATGAATTCTGCCTTAACTATGCAGACTGTATGGTACAAAGTGAGCTTCTTTCATTGTTCATAGGTACACATGTTAGTCACTAGCTCAAGTTGTAGCTAATACCAAAACCATGGACTTGATGCCTCCTAGCCTAAGTGCCAGGACTATAACAAATTAAGCTGAACCACTTGTATAAACTCTAAGAGGCATTTCTTACTTCTTATTTCTTACTTCTTACTTCTTGTAAAAAGGCAGGAAGGATTGATGATACAAAAATACACAAATTCTCTAAGCCATGCTGTTACAACACCTTTTTACAAGCCTTTAAAGTTGTTTCTGAAGAAATAGTAATTTTGAAAAAACTTTGAAAATACTGTTTAACCTCAAGTTTTACCTGCAAGGTTATTTCAGCTTAAGCAAACTTTCATTCAAGGGAGTTGTGCAAAATTAAGTGGTTTCCTTGGGAAACTAGGGTATCTAAATATGTCATGGTCATCTACAGTTAAAGCTGTTGAAGGATCCACTCTGTTCAATAAAAATACTTCCAGTGAGGAATCAGAATGAAGATGATTATGGCCAGATTTCCTGTTCTTAAACCTTTAGCAGTACACCTACTGTTTAGTCTTACTGAATCCCTTAAAATACAAGAATGTTTGTATTAGCTGGGAAAACCTAGTGATGCAAAGTAGATTGCCATCAGATAAAGAAATATTAATCAAATCTACCTGCCTGTTGTATTTCTTAATACCTGAGTCATTGGAAGAATCAGTCTGAGTTCTACTTTCATTCACTCCATAAATGTATGCATCAATTTAAATACATACTAAAAAAAATACTTTTTTATAAAATCAGAAATGTAAGTGGGAAATTATTTGAAACCCTCCTATAACATTTCAGAGGCAACTAATGCTAATTTGATCCAGTTTCAAAAATGCAAATGGCCTTCACTTCCAAGGAGTACTTGCCTTCCAAGTGTTTTTTCTCTTTTACGGTGCAATTAAATACTACTAATTTCAGCCCTTGTTCTGATTAGGAGGAATTTAGTATTTTGGTAATGCAGTAACTTGGCAAAAGTAAAGGTATATAAAACTGACAGCACAAATATTAAACCCAGATTTGATTTTTAAGGTTAAGGCTTTGTTGAAAACAAAAATCAAAAATAGTTATTGAAGGTGTTACGATAGACCACTAAGAGTTGACACTTCGGAACAGCTCTCTGGATATTTTTCTCTTATTCAGAAAATGGGTTTGTAAACAAAGCAAGGGTTTACCACTCTATTTCAGCCACCTTAAAAAGTTTTGAAAACTAGAAAGTTCTTTGCAGGATTGTCGTCAACTGAGAAGAGGGGCAAAAGGAAAGAAAGACAAATACACATGCAAAAAATCCCAAACAAAAATACCCAACCCCCCTCCCCTCCAAAACCTCAACCTACTCAGCTTGTGTGTGTTTATGTTGCCTGATGTTCTTAGACCTGGTAATTCTCTCCTATAAAGAATTACCAGACGTCTGGTCTAGCTTGTCCTGTCTATTCTGATTTTAACATGGCGGTACAGCGGTACATCTTCCTCTCCTAAACACTTGCACTTATTGTAGCTAGTTTAAATAAGAAGTTACTTTCTAGACCCTCAATGTTAATGTTGCTGAACTGTTACTCTTCTACCCTTGAGCAAGTTCTCACCAACTTCCTCATAGGTTTTAGGGTTGGTTTTGGAATAAGAAAAAAATTAAAATAAAAAATTAGTCCCTCAAAAGCAGCAGATCCCAACCATCCATTGTCCTTTAGTAAAGAGGGTGAGGAATCCATGTGCCTACCCTGTGAACCCAAAGAAAGCTCACGAGACAGCTTCCATGGAGCTGTACCTCATGGACAGCAGGAAAAGTCATTGCTATATATGGGATATGCCAGATAATACTTCTGTGTAGAAGTCCACCTCAAGCAGAGGGTCACCAGTTTCAATGGAGATTTAATTGTACTGTCAGAATATCAACATCTTAATAACGGTCATGAGACACTGTAAAAACTGAACATTTTTATAAGATTGACAAATGAACTTTTATACTTTTATTTTTCTGCCAAATAAACTTTTATAAGATTGCCAAATAAACAAAGCTGGACTTAATCACGCCGATGTACTTTGATTTGTTAGTTCATAACCAAGGAAGCAATAAATATTCTACTGTGTTTTACAATTAGAGTACATTATACTTGTAAATATCTTTTTAATTTAAAAAAAATCCTTAGTGCTGCTTTTTTGGATGCTGTTTATTTTTAAACAATTTTAACCATTGACACATACAATTATCTTCACACAATTACTCATTTTCTGATTATTTCAAATTTTTCTTGTATATACAAGTTGAAAGTCTAAAAGTAACACAGGAACCATTTTGTGTACTCTCTAACAGGGCATACAAAATTGTATTAATTCCCTCATAAAAGTGTACTTGAAGTTGCCTCTCATAAAGCTGTCAATCCTGTGATAGCAGCCATGTCAGCCAAATAGTGAAGAGTCAGGAGGAACTGAGCTGTTGTGGAAATGAATCAGCCATTTGCCTCAGGATCTCCAGATCCACACGGCTGTGTGCCTGACTTCTATTGTTCCCAACAGAAAGGTGAAAGTCACACAGAAATGTAAGTAACACATAAATTGACACTGGATCAAGCTAATGTAGACTTATTGACACAGATTCAAGTATCTACCTTTTTAATGGTCTCATTATTCTATTTCCTATCTTTCTTTGCAGTTCATTTCTAAAACCTGGTTTCTCCAAAACAGAACTCAATTCAAAAAAGCCACTTCAGTTTTACAGTATAATGCCTCACACTCAAAACCCACCCAAAATCTCCCTCACTCGTTTCAGAAATGACTTTTCTGCATAAAATATAATTTGATGTCAGCTGTGGAGGAAACTGATTTTGAATTTTGTAACCATTAATAAGAAATGAAACATTTTTTAAACTAATTATTAGTATAACTAACAGGTATTCATTCAGCTGCCCTAAGAAACAGAAGCACCACCATGGTATTGCTATCTCTTTTCATTTTAGTGGGATACTACTACTACCAATACTAGCTGGCTCTCTGCTGGCTGCATCACATTGTGGAAAAGTTTTTTGAAGAGCCCAATATTGGAAATATTTGTATTATACTGCTGAGGCTGAAATAATTACCAAGTTTTGGATCAGATGCCCACAGTAGTTAAAGTATTTGAAACTGATCCTTCCAGTTCTACAGGGTACTGGTGCCCCAGGATGCAAATTTTTACACGTCAGTTTAACACGTGGCCATTTAAAAGGTCGTATGACTGTACTTATGCCATTTACAAGACAAATACAACAGGTGAGCTACTCCAATGAAGATATTTGCAAAACTAAAAATTTATAGAATCTAACTTTAAAATACTTTCTATGCAAACTCAGACTTATATTTCTTAATATAGCCCACGTGATGGGGAGTGATCAGAATTATAGCTAAACTTTCAATAACCAACAAAAATATTTAGACTTCTGAAAAGGTAGACAGAATCTCCAGTTCTTTCCAATGTTGCTCATAATTTTGTCATGAAAAGCATCTGCCAGACAAAATAGTGGCATGCTGCTAATGTAATAATAACAAAAGACTTCACCTTCTTACAGTATACTGAAAACATCACATACAAAACATAGGCAGCTGTTTAAGGACAAGCAGCAGTAAGACATTGATAAAGAAAATTGCATCCCAGGGATATTTAAGGCAGATGAAAAGGCTCATATGTTCTCATTACTCAGAAAAAGTAGCCACAGCATGATCCATGCCAAGACTTTACACCAGTGAATGACAACCAAGTAAAAGTGCCTGGAAACTCAGGAGCAGCACGATGAGAGAGGCATTATCATCTGCCCTTCACCCACTCAGCCCACTCCAGCAGATTTAATCTTTCCCTTGGCCTGTTCTATGTGCTGTTCTCATCACATGATAGTGTATATAATGTGCTGTGCCTGCTTTTTTAGGTTATCCAGGTCCTTTTATTTACCACTGAATATCTGGACACTAGCAATGCTGAGAAACTAAAATTTACAGTAGCACAGCTCTATAGCTGTCTATATAAAGACATTATGAGAAAACAGAATATAAACGATGTAAGACTGCATCCTTCCTGCCCCTGTAACAGTTCTGCTTCATCAGAAAAGTAAAGGTAAGCTTCAGTGGAGGTAAAAAAAGTAGTAAGGAGTCTGGTCTTCTCAAAATCCAATGTCCATCCAAACTCATGAAAGTTGCACTTAATATTTGTTTTTCTACATGTTTCTCATTTTGGCCATGAGTTCTTCTAGGCTTTCTTCAGACTCTGCTACTGCCTCCCCAGTTATTAAATTCTCTTCCTGTTAGGAACAGCAAGAAAAAGTTGTCAACAAAAAAATCAAACAAAAAAACCCCCCAGAGATCAGCTTTATTGCTGTTATACCACACCATTTTCCTATAATCAGGCACTCAATTGTGAGATTAGGCCTAAGCGATTATAAGCTTCAATTGCAAACTGTTTTGACTAGGAGTTGGAATGTTCTTACTGCAGTACATTCAGATTCTATGTTCCCCAGATATACTCATTGCTCTCTGACTACATACAGCTTTTACAAGATACGTATGGGAAAAATTAATTAGTCACCAATATATCAACTGAGAAATTGACATTTGCTGTCCTTCCCCCAGCCCCTAAATGCATTAATTCCTATCATCTCAGCAGTACATTCACACTAGCATCCACACTTGAAGTACCTTTCCCAGGAACACAAACTGGACCATAAAAAGGAATAATCAAATGAACTGAGGTCACATTTCAAGATGGAATTGTTCAAGATGGAATTCTCTTTTAGGTTTAAAGGGTAATCAAACTGGCTGGTATTATAAATTTAATCTACAATGCGTATTTCAAAAATTCATGAAGAATAAGTTCATTACCTTGTCTGGGATAGTATATGCTACACTAATTCCCTCAGGAAGCTCAGGTACTGGGCCAGATGCAGCCTTCAGCTCATCTTCTGAAATTTCCGATACTAATTCTATGCCTTTGCATTAAAAGGAAACAAAAACTCCATTAGAAGTTAGAAGAAAAAGTTCTTTATTCACCAAGTTATCACAGTAAGAGGAAAGATGCAGCTACTTTCCAAAAACAGAATTAAATTAAACTAGAAACACCTTTGATTTCAACAACTTCATTCCATTACAAATAGAAAATATTTTCCCTTTACAATATATTAAATAGTTCCATATAAGCAACTTCTGAACCAGAATGGCATCTCTTCCTTGTCCTTACCATTTAAACTTTACCATCAGGACACTTCTCCCAGTTGTAAGATAAGATTATTTTCTATGGCATGTAATAAACAGAACATATATCTCCAGTCTTTAAATGGTTATATAAAAGACATTCACCATTCCTTAAGATAATTCCTTCTAATTTAAAACCCTCAGAGGAATGTAAAAATCTATGGGATGCCTCAGCACAGTGGTTATGGAATTGACAACAGCTCTTTAGTGTATTTAAAAGGAATATGCAGTTAATACATCTTCTCATATCTCTCTCATCTTCAAATCATCTTCTGAGAACTGTGCAGCAGTTACATTTTGAGCCTAAAACCTGCACATTGCACTAAAAACATATCATCAAGTTGTGGTAAAATTACTTTCAAAACCTGGGAAAAGCCAAAAGTAATTGCACAGTGTAAGTTATAAAAAATAAGAACTAGAAAAATTCTATGTACCCTAAACTGTGGTCACCCAAAATGAATCTCATTATTGGGAAAATCATTTAGTCTCCAGATGATGACTTACCCCAGTCATTGTCTTCATGTACTATTTCTTCTTCCTTTTCAATTACTTCTTCCTCTGGTCTTGCAGCTTCTTTTTTCTGGAGGGAAAACACAGAAAATAACCTCAATAACCAAAAACCCTCATTAACCAAAATTTAACAGTCCAATTTCCAAAAACAGCAAAGAAATTCAAGCCTAATAATCACATTTCTTCCAATATGTAACATAAAAAGGTTCTAAATGGTGACTGCTTAGGAGCAAAAAGGCAGAATACCTGCAAGTTCAAAAAAACACCAAACCCATTAACACTCAGAAAAATATAACTGTTAGAAAAGGTAGCAATCAGTTAAGCACTATTTTCTTCTACACAATTGTTCAACTTTTCTTCCTACCCTTTACTTTAAGGTAACTGTAAGTACTGTATATTTAGAAATATGTGCAACCATCTGAAGACAACTGCTGCAAACTGGAGTAGCAACGAACATTTTTTTTTTACTACAGATTAGCAGCTTGCTTTGTTCTCTAAGAAAAGGGAAATTAGAAAATCAACCCACAAACCCAAACTGTTTTTACCTTATAATTTTCTTGCTGTTTTCTGCAATTGTGGTCACTACATTGGGGGTTTGGCTTCATAGACATAGTTGGGAAGAAATCCTGCATCGCATTGTAACCAAGATAATAACTCACAGTACCAAAATTTAACAGGTATCTAGAAACAGAAAGAAGGGAGCTTGTAATACAGGTGTAAACCTAAAACTTCAGTCATGTAGGGAATAATTTTTCTTCAAAGAACTTTTAGAATACACTTTCAGACTCATGGAATTGTAATGTGAGTTACTGTAATTGCCTTAAATCCAGTAATGCTGTAGTCAGCTGGCAACAGAATAAGTGGAGCAATACAGAATCCCATCTTCTTGTGGTGTGTGAGAATAACTCAGCTACAGGCAAGAGAAGTAATTTATTCTTTGTCCATGTACACAAGTCAGCACTGTAGCATTTTTTAATGTATAACTTAATGATGCCAAATCAGAGCATGTTTAATTATTTAAATATTTTGCTGCACACATCAAATAGCAACAACTCAGTCACTTACTTGAGAACATTTTGTACAAGCATTCCTGCCACAACACCCATGGTTGTAGGAAGACTGGCTGCACAAACTCCTTCTCGTTTCAACGTCTTCTCATCAATATTTGCAGCTACTACCAGTGGAGGAGCACACTGAGGGGCAAAAGAGAAAATAAGCTGTAAGGAAGCATTCAAGAAATTCCACAGATCACACAGAATTTAAAGGTACTGCATCAGCTGTGCCAGGATCACACTCACAAGGCC